GGAGAAGATCATCATCAACTATTGCTGGAACAGCAACATAAGATATTCGTACAGGCCAGAAGAAGAATAAAAGAGGGCCCAGAAGAAAAGAAATGAGAGGGTGAATGCTGAAAGAAAGGTGGTAGAATTGAAGGTTGGAGACCCTGTCTACTATAAAATCCACCAGAGAGAAGGAAAACTGGACCAGAGATGGGAACCGTACTACCGGATAGTGGAGCAGACGGGCCCAGTATCATATGTAATATGGGATCAAGTGGCAGGACGAGCGAGGAGGGTTCATGCCAATGATCTGAAGAAGGCTGAAATAGCTAACCTGGAAATGAGCGAGCCGAGGCCTAAGAAGACAAGGAAAAGGAAGGTAACTCTGGTTGAACCGGAAGGAATGGAGACGGAGGAAGACTCCGAAGAAGATGAGGAGATAGGTCGACTTGACCAGATAAACGAAGCAGTCCGAGTGACAGAGTTGGAACCCTCAGCGGGGATTAGCGATGTTCAGTCGTCGACTGAATCAGTGCAGAGAAGACCCCGTGAGATCGCCATCACACCCCCATGTCCGAAGAAAAGGAAGAAAAAAGACGAAGAGGTCCAATCAAGCAGTCGAAGGCTCTAAAAAAGAGGCACCCTGAACAGGACGAAGGGCCCAGCGAGTGGGAGGAGGAGGATCGAATACCCCTTTCCCAGCTTAAGGAAAGGATAAAGAACAGGAGAAGTTTAGACATAGAGTCGAGAGGTATTGAAGACATTCAAGGCGAAGACTCTAAACAGAAAGAAGAATCAGGGGATGAAGAAGAGGAAAAAACCTCCTGGACGGGAGTTAAACACAGAAAGAAGGTTAGAGGTTGAACAGGAATCACCTCAGAAGATGAGATCAGGGAGGAGAAGAACCCCAAATCTCAGTAGAACAAAAGGGCTGTGCAGAATAGAAGCATTTAGTGTCGACAGATAACGACACTGGCTCATCCAAAATCCTATTGGCTGACTATGGTAGATGTGAGTGGAGGGATGGAGATGCGGGCTGCACCTCACGAGGAACGGAAGATCATTGGCATTATTGATTGGCCACCAGTGGTGTCATGAAGTACGACCTTTAGAGTGGGCGCCACGCACACCTGACCGGACCATTCTGTCTGCTAGAGGTTAGTTAGGGAGGGAAGAGCCGAACTAAGAAAAAAGTTATGAAATGATTGAGTGATGAGTCGAGCGAGACTAAGTGATTGTGAAGAATAACAACAAGAGAATTTGTTACCTTTCAGGAATGATAGCAAGGTACAAGGTGGAAGCAGACTACATAGCATTAAATTCGGGGAGAACGAAATTTATGTTGCTATCAGCTGAAGAAGCTAGAAGGTGTAGAGATGATACCCTGGGGACTTGTACCTCGTTGAGCCCTATCTATAAAACTGGTAACCGCAGAATGTGCATATTAGAATTGTTTGAAGGGAAGGGGAAGGAATCAAAAGAATCTGCCAAGTAGAGGTATTAACAAACTCGGCATTACCACAAGCTATCAGTGTTTCAGACGGGGTGTGGGCAGTAGCCACACAGAAACATATCAGCCTGTCTAGGGTATGTGGGGGAGAGTCCACAAGGACATTAAGAATAAGGCCACCGTTATCCCTGGTGACGCTACCCATGGGATGTTCGGCGGTTGGGGTGTCCATCTCCTTGCCCCCTATTACCAGATGGAAGAAAGATATGAAGAAAAAGATTCACTCGTAGAGATGATTGGTAGAGGCTTAGTCAATTGTACAGAATTATGGGAGCCGATAGTGAAGAGATTCTCTAATGTTACCTTAAATAAGATGCCAGTATTAATGAAGCCAATAGAAAAGATCGATATGGATCACTTAAGGGATAAGTTAAGTGCGTTGGGAGACGAAGGTGTAGCTTGGGAAGACGATGAGCAGATCGCGATAAGTTGGTCAATAGTAATGGGTACATTCCTAGTTATAGCCATCGGGGGTGTAATAATATGGAAGATTAAGAGTAAGAGAAGATTAGCGAACGACAGTCTAGTGAGCATGCAACAACTCGAGAGGGAGATGCCGAGCAGTGTTCCTTACTCAGACAGGACTGGCGAAGAAATTGCTGAAAGACCAATGGAGGAGGCTGGCGTGAGACCACCACGTGCGGCGGGAAAACCTCCCACGGCAGAGAGGAAAACATTGACCAAGAAGAACAAACCCTAGTGAACACATCTGCACCTACAAACACAGGTTCACATTACCTTGCATGTAAAACAAAAGAAAATGAAAAGAACATTTCATTGCATGTAGAACAAAAGAAAATGAAAAGAAATTTCATTTTGCATGTAGAACAGAAGAAAATGAAAAGAACATTTCATTGCATGTAGAACAGAAGAAAATGAAAAGAATTTCATTGCATGTAGAACAGAAGAAAATGAAAAGAACATTACATTGCATGTAGAACAAAAGAAAATGAAAAAGAACATTTCATTGCATGTAGAACAGAAGAAAATGAAAAGAACATTTCATTGCATGTAGAACAGAAGAAAATGAAAAGAACATTACATTGCCTGTAGAACAAAAGAAAATGAAAAGAACATTTCATTGCATGTAGAACAAAAGAAAAATGAAAAGAACATTTCATTGCATGTAGAACAAAAGAAAATGGAAAGAACATTACCCTTGCATGTTAGAAAGTAGAATAGAATTGCATGAGACAAATGCATGGTGCATGTTAAATGATGTAATTGGGTTTAGGTGTCATTTACGGGTAAATGACAAATCGGTTAGGGGAGGATTGTGGCACCTTGCATTATTAGAAATATTCATAGAAATATGATTTAATTTTTTCTTATTCGGTTTACTAAACAGGTTGTTGATTTTTTTTTAAACGGAAAATAATTGAGTTGAAAATAATTCACTAAGATTGTACTTGGACGATCCTAAGGGAAGAAGAAGGAAGGGAAAAGAGAGGTCGAAAAATAAAAAAAAAACGGTCATTAACAAAAAACACGAGTCAGAAAGATATCTTAGCTAGCATGTTGACCGAATTTTTTAAAGACAATTGGAAGAATAGAATTAGAAATAATAAGAAGAAAGAAAGGGAAAAAAGACATGATATCAAAACGGGCCGCTTGATGGAAGCCAGATATCGGTCAAAGCACCTAGCCTACTTTTTGCATGGAAAGACACCTTATCAATTTGGATAAAGAGAAATTTTGGGAACAATGAAACAATCTTAATCAGAGAAAAAGTGTCTTTTGGGTTGAGGGGAGTGACCGGTGGAACGGTATACAGGCTCTGACCTGTTAAAAATTAGAACCCCACAATAATAAAGTGGAGACATTTTCAATGTAGATAATTAAGATTTTTGACTATCAGGAAAAACAAAGAGGTAAAAAAGAGGGACAATTGCTTTTGGCTCACAGAGGGCGCCAAGAAGGCGGAAAAGATCCTTTCTGAAGTCAAGTCTAATTAGCGGCGGGCTGTTTGACAAAGTCCAGGTGAGAGAAGGCCAAGATGGTCATTTTTCGTACGTGCGAAAAAAAAAAGGAAAAATTAGATTTTGTTTTTTAGAACAAGAACGATATAAGCCCGCCCCGATTGATTGCAGGAAACGCCCAATCAGGATCTCATTAGCCGAAAACGGTCACGTGGCTGCAGAAAAAAGAAAAGAAAGAAATGCTCAACCAGAATCCCATTAGCCGAAAACGGTCACGTGGCTGCGGAAAAGAAAAGAAAGAAATGCTCGATCAGAATCTCATTAGTCGAAAGCGGTCACCTGACATACGAGAGACCGAGAGAGATGGATATGCGCCTCCCCCCAAAAAAGCACTATGAGGAAGTAGGGGTGAAAACAATAGCGATAATGGGGAAACAGAATTAATGCGGCTATTGGAATTATCGAGAAAACCCCTGACGCCGACAGACCCACCCCAGTTTGTTGCGGCGTCAATAAAAGCAGGACCCCAGTCGACAGAAATCAGTTGGAGTTGGAGTTGCAGCTGGACCGCGGGCAGGGAAAGAGCCTGAACGCGGGCATCGGGCCCGATTCACTCGCCCCTTTGCGGGCAAAAGAATCCTCAGACAAGAAATCCTTCCAGCCCAAGTCGAAGACAGAAGAGTTCAGCCCCGGACGGCAGCGAGAAGAGATCACCTCCGGACGACAGAGAGTTGCGGCTGAGTTGAGACAAGAAATCCTTCCAGCTTCGAAGACAGAAGAGTTCAGCCCCGGACGGCAGCGAGAAGAGATCACCTCGACGACAGAGAGTTGCGGCTGAGTTCGAAGACAAGAAATCCTTCCAGCGAACTTCCAGCCTAAGTCGACGAAGAAGAAGAAATACAACTCAAGTCGGAGAGAAGAATCAACTGCGAATGATCGATAGAAATTAGCCCCAGTGTCGAACCAAACCACACTCCTACATACACAATTCTAAAGAGTAGGCAATTCGAAATCTTTAGGTTGTGTGATAGAAGCTTGGTGCCATAGTCCGCAGAGCGGGTTGGGAAATGAGAACAATTTTGTTTTTATGTAGCGGACATTAAGATATAAAAGGTTGTTACCCATTTTTTTTTCATCAGCAATCTTTTTGTCTCGTGAGTTTATTTTCTCTTTTATTTGTGTTTTGCCACCCCCGTCGGACTCAACTTGTATCGGCCCCAATCCCTGCTGGTCCCGTCTGTCTAAGATCTAAACACAGCGTGGGTAGACAGACCGGAGATCGGTACAGTTGCTTTAGTGACCAGGTATTGGAAGCGAGTCGGGAAAGGCGAGGCTGGTGATCATCTGACCAAGGGGTTGGAGCGGCACGCTTGGACCCAGGAGGAGCGACCAGGAGGAGCGACGTCACCGTTGGCGCCGTAACCAAGGGATTCGACCCTGGGCCAGGTGTGTAACCGTCACAATATGGTGAAACCTCGTTAACCTTAAATCTGGGATTTAGGCGATCTTTTCTGTGGGTATTCACGATATCCCAAGTTCGAACCCCAATCCTAGGAGCGGATTTCCTCGCCCACTTTAACTTGTCCGTTAATATGTCTTCCCTTTCTTTGGAGGATAAAACGACCAACATTACAAGGAAAGGAATTACATCTATCTATACGAGCACATGTATCAGCGCAACTATACCTGAAGCCAACGGGATGCAGCATCTGTTACAAAAATATTCTCAAATTACAACACCATTCCAGTATACAGAAACCGTTCGTCACAATGCTGAGCACCACATTGATACTACGGGCCCACCCACGCATTCATCTCCACGGCGATTGAAGCCTGATAAATATAAACTGGCGAAAGACGAGTTTCAGCACATGCTGGACCTCGGTATAATTAGACCTTCTTCGAGTCCTTACTCATCCCCTCTTCATATGGTTCCAAAACCGGACTCAGGAGCTTGGGGACCTTGTGGCGACTTCCGGAAGCTGAATGCTACTACAATTCCGGATAAATACCCCATCCCGCACTTGCACGATTTCGCAGTGCGTTTGCAGGGTGGCACAGTCTTCACCAAATTTGATCTGGTGAAAGCATTCCACCAGATACCAGTGGCCAAGGAAGACATCCATAAAACAGCAATAACTACTCCTTTTGGCTTATACGAATTTGTGAGAATGCCATTTGGTTTAAGGAACGCCGCACAATCTTTCCAACGGCTTATAGACGAAGTGCTGAGAGGTTTACCTTTCACCTTTGCCTATATTGATGACGTCCTGATCGCCAGTAGAAACAAGACTGAACATCGTCATCACGTTGAACAAGTTTTCCAGCGTCTACAGCATTTTGGCCTTAAGATTAACACAGAGAAATGTATTTTTGCTGTGCCCTCACTTAAATTTTTGGGACACGTCATTGATGAAAAGGGAATAACGCCCTTACCTGAGAAAATAGAATCTATTTCAAATTTTTCACAACCAACTTCACTCCGGCAGTTACGCCGATTCTTAGGCCTCATTAATTACTACCGGAGGTTCATTCCTGGTTGTTCCCAGATTCTGATTCCCCTCACAGATTTACTGCAACAACAGCGTCAGAAGAACTCAAAGATTACCTTGGAAGGCGAATCACTGACTGCTTTTCACAGAGCCAAAGACGCCCTTGCCAACTTTACGAAGTTATCATATATAACCGATGATGACTCAATGATCACACTGACAGCAGACGCATCAGGCGACTCCATAGAGGCTGTGCTTCACCAGGAACAGGGAGATGCTAAAAAACCTATTTCGTTCTTTTCAGTCAAGCTAAACTCATCTCAGAAAAAGTACAGCGCATTTTCAAGGGAATTACTGGCAATATATACTTGGCAATCCGTCATTTCCGTCATCTTTTGGAAGGACGGAATTTTGTGGTCTATACAGATCATAAACCATTAATTCATGCTCTGCACGCCAAGTCGGACAAATATACCCCAAGGGATATCCGACAATTGGATTATATTTCCCAATATACGTCGGATATCCGCTATGTAAAAGGGGCTGACAATATAGTAGCTGATACCCTATCGCGATCAACGATACAGTCAATTGACGCACAGACCTTGAATTTCGACTCCTTAGCGGAAGAACAAAAGACTGACACTACTTTGGAATCAGTAAAAGAAAAAACGTCACTACAGTTAAAGCAACACCCTGTGCCATTTGGTAACACTACTGTCTATTGTGATGTAAGCACAGGATACTCTAGGCCCTATGTACCACCTTCTTTGCGAAAAAAGTATTCGAACATTTCCATTCTCTGTCGCACCCTGGTCGAAGAGCGACTACTAAGATGATTAGTGATCGTTTCGTTTGGCCAAAAATGTCCAGTGACATAAAACACTGGACACAGACTTGTTTAAAATGCCAGCAAACTAAAATACAACGGCATACCAAGTCTCCGCCTGGTACATTCTCTAAGCCTGATGGTAGGTTCACTCACATTCACGTTGACTTAGTGGGCCCTTTGCCCGACATTGATTATTAACAATAATCGATCGTTTCACTCGTTGGCCTGCAGCCTTTCCTTTAAAAAGTATTTCAGCGGAAACGATTTCCAGGTGCATTCTTAGAGAGTGGATCTCTATCTTTGGTTGTCCTTCAATAATAACCACTGATAGAGGTTCCCAGTTCCAGTCAGTCCTTTTCAATGAATTTATAAACTTGTTAGGCGTAAAGCACATTTCTACAACCGCCTACCATCCATGTGCAAACGGCCTTGTGGAACGATTTCATAGGCAACTTAAGGCAGCACTAGCAGCAAGTGATGACTCCAGGACTTGGCTGGAAAACCTACCACTGATTTTACTGTCATTAAGAAATGTAGTCAAAGAGGACTTAGGATGCACTACAGCAGAACTTGTTTTTGGGAGTACGCTAACACTCCCTGGACAGTTCGTGGGAAAGCGTACTCCTTCCAGACCGACTATCTATTTCGTCCAGGATTTTAAACAAAAAATGGAAAACCTAGCTTTTACTCCAACGCGTGCCCAGTTCTTTATGCCGAAAAATTTAGACAGTTGTGATTACGTCTTCCTGCGAAAAGATGCAGTTAGAAGACCCTTAACCCCCACGTATTCTGGTCCACATAAAGTAATTAATAGAACGTCCAAGCATTTTACTTTACTTTTGCACGGGAAGCCTAACACAGTGTCAGTCGACCGGTTGAAACCGGCTTACATCGATTTATCTCATAAATCGCTTCCTGACCCTGAGCTAACATCTTCGACCCAGCCAGCGCAGCTTGGACCTTCAGTACCACCCGCGGAAGTTACTACCATGTTCATTGGCCTAGTAGATTTAAAACGTATATTACATATTGAGAAAATTTTCTCTTAAAAACTTTCACAATCTGCGGGGGGGGGTTATTGTAGAATCAGATTCCTACATTTTTTTAAATCTTAAATTTTGTGCAAGTTAAACACACAGAGGCTCCCAACCAGATATAACAACTGATGTATTTTGATTGGTTGTAAAATATTAATTAGGTGTCGTCAACTACGTCCGAAGGTACCGACCCAAATTTTAACCTCTAGTTGACGCCATAAAATGTAAACATGTTTACGAGCCTCCCCACGTGACCAAGAGAACTAATGAAAACGAAACTTCGACGCGACTTGGTCAGTGGGCACTTAAAATATTGAACCAATTCACTTGACTTCATTGGAAATCAACACAGCAAAGGAGACGAACTTTATCTTCAATACAACAACAAACTTTGTCAACCATCTCCAGGCTTAACGCTCACTCCCACAAAATATTCCATTCCACAAGAATCTCTGGTTAATGAGCAATAACTCTATAACAATCAGTGAGTCAAGACAATACTTTTTTCTATTTATTACACAAAAAACATCTGTTTAATTTTCCTATAAAAACAAATATAGCTAACTAAACCTTGTCATTTTTACACATACAGTACAGTAACTCAAATTCTTTCAGTAACACACGCACACACACCAAAGAACTCTATTGTGTTTATCCACTTTTGCACTATATATTATGTATTTGTTGTGTTTTGTTGCAGTGGGCCGAGAGGTGTGAGTACCAATCGACCCTACAACTAAAAAAGGGGACGCAAAGGCAAGGAGTTGGCAATAGCAATGAAGGATGACAAACGCAGATGGTCCGTTGTAGACGATGGTAATCGTGTCTTTATTTGTGAACAGTGGGTGGTAAGGCGACAGAGGTCGTTTGTTCGGGAACGGTATCCGGAGGTTGGAACTGGTCGCTGGACGTCAGTGAAGCGCTGCAGGAGTGAGCCGGAGATTGCTGGAAGCTTCAGGGGTGAGCTGGAAACTGCGGGAAGCTGCAGGAGTGAGCTGGAAACTGTTGGAGTGAGCTGGAAGTTATAGTATATCTGTCTTTATCTGCCCTATTTGTTAATATCATATCCCGTTGTTCTGTTAACATAGGACATTAATTAACGCTAATTATTTAACATGATTCGTGTTTTAGCAACATACCAACAGAATATATCATCAGTAAAAAGGAGTGATCCTGAGACTAATACATTGCGTTTTATTTCTTACTTAAAACTAAAAGGCAACATTATTACTCATGCAGAAAATTTACCCAATTCAAAATTCGCAATTACTTAAACATATTGTCAGCTTTTTAACAAAACAACAAAATTACTGAAAAGAAAAACGAAGTTTTGGGGTTTTTAGCAGCCATTTTAAAAATAGCATTTAGATTTATGGCCCTTGGATCATAGTCAGATAATGATAAATCACGAGGAAATTTTCTCTTGTACAGAAAATATTTTCCACTTCTTCAAAAGTTGTTTAGGATTTAATTTCAGTTCTTTGAATTATTTAAGAGTTATTTTGTTTGGGGTAAAAATAAAGTCAATAATCATTGATCTTTTTAAAAGTTCAATGATCAAAAATAAAATATTTATTCCGAATAATAATTTAAAAGAAAATAATTTGATGTTTAAAATAGTTAAGTAGATTTAAAAATTAGACTACAAACTGAGATGAACATATTATTATAAATGTTCATATGTATTTTAAATATTAAATTATGAATATATATTGATGCATAATTATCAGGCGTTTTTTTTTACACAATATCTATTATGAAGAAAGAAACATAAGAATTCACCAGTAAAATTTTTAAATGAGAATGATTATTGACACGTATTTTTATAACCTGAAAATAAAATATTTTTATTAAAAAAGTAAACAAAACAGCAATTTTTATTAGCAAATAACTCACTTACAAAATGCCTGGTAATTATGCACCAACCTAACACACACACACATATATATATATATCATTCGCAGACAGTACTGTTTCGCTGTATTACAGCTCCTCAGTGCGACTAGACGTCCAAAAGCCTCAATCCAGGACCGAAACCCGACCGATTTGGTGTCAGTCGGAATTTCTACTCCTAAGCCATTAGCACTCTAGCGTATTGTTTTTACGAATGTAAACAAACCCCAGTCAGCCAGAGTGTTCGTATTCATTTTACTGAATGCTTAGTGTAAGCGGCTGGTGTTTGTAGAATTAGGCCGTCTTTCAACAGTGCTCAGTTGAAAAATATATTTTCAAGATATATATATATATATATATATATATATATATATATATATAGATAGATAGATAGATAGATAGATTAAAAATAAGTCTAGCCGCATCCTTCTAGTAAACACTTTCAATCCCACTCTGCCTCCACTATCCCAAATAATCAAACGTCGCTGGGAAATACTACATCTCAAACCAAACCTAAAAAAATTGTTTAAGGAACCCGGCCTTCTTGCATATCGTAGACCTAAGAACCTAAAAGAAATCATAGGTAGTAACCACATTTCAGGGGACAAGGTAATCTGTAATAAATTAAGAACAAAAACAACAGGATTTTCCCAACCATGTAACAACAAAAGAAGTTT